TGTTCACTGGGTACCCATGAGGTCTTCATGGGGCTGGGGAGAGGCAATAATATACTTGGAATAAAGTGAGAAGCACTGGGTAGCACCAGAGCTCTAAGAGGGCCTCATCCAGGAGAAAGGGCAAATAGGGGAGGGAACTCAAATTGCCCTGTAGCTACAGCCCTGCATGGCAGTGTCTACTGGGGTCAAACTAAAAGAAAAACCATTACTCTTAATTAGCACGAAAGATGGCACTTACAATTTTGTGTTTAATACCCCTCAAATAACTGTGTTTTATTTCCTGTCTCATTTAATTTTCACCCTAATAAAAGTTGATCTCGCTACTATAGTCATTTTGCAAATGAAAAGATAATGTTCACTGGAGTTGGTGTAGGACTAACAATTGCTAGGTGGTAGATGTCAGCTCTGATATTGTGTCCTTTCTGAGATCTTAAATTCTCTAGCCCAGTATGACTGATGCTACACCTTCACTTAGATACTTCTACCACTAAGCAGTGCTCCTATCACCCCAGTTATCTCTCCACATCTACTGTGCACATAAGTGAGTTAAGAGTATTCAGGAATTATGCTCATAGCCACATCATGGTTGACATGCGTATAGATGCTGTTGATAAATAAAAGACAGAAGCAGAAATTTTTCTAGTGTAACTCAGAGTTTATTAAAGCACATTTTGTCATTTCATTCATCTATTTTTCTTTGTTAGTTTTCCCTCCAATGAGAGGCAAATGTACAGGTAGGAAGATGAAATGACCACAAAATCAAGGGGTCACTTTGTTCACTATGAATCCACAAACAGTGATTATGAAAGAATGAGGCAAGGAGTAACTGTACCTTCAATCAAGGTAAATTCTACTTGATTTGATCCCACCTGACACCCTTAGACTTGGGAGCCACTCAGCAGAGGCTAAAGTTCTCCCTGGGTGCAGCATGGAGATCGCCATTTCACACTTGTGCCAACAGGAGTGCATCAGCAGCCTGGTGTGATCAACAATTACACGAGTGACAGACGAGCAAGCTTACGATACACCTGACGGGAGACAGGAACACACATCTGCCCTGTGGGTGGCAATTCTCCCTGGGTGAGGATGGGGAAGTCAGTTTTCATTGTATCCTGAAGAGGTGCTTGGTCTGATAGACGCCTCTGCACACTTATCTTCAGGTAATTAAATTGTGCACATCTCCATTTATAAATTGACATATTGACAAATCACCTACATGACCTACTGCAATTCTTTTGAACGGACAGCCTGTAATTCTCTCTGTCATTAATGGGAATCAATTTGGTTTCCAAGAATGAGGATTTGGGAGAATTATTCAAGTAAAGGTTATTGTCATAATGAGAGAAATCTTATTGCACTTAGCTTTTCGAGTTTTAATTTGATTTCTCTACTTTTTTATTACTCTTTCTAATTGCTATAGTTAATCTAGAGATTCTGGGCAGCACTGATGGAGAATAGCACAGAGGTGACCGAGTTCCTCCTGCTGGGACTGACTGATGACCCACACCTGCAGGTTCCCCTCTTCATCACCTTCCTCCTCATCTACACCATCACTGTGGCTGGGAACCTGGGGATGATCCTGCTCATCCTCCTGGACCCTCGTCTGCACACTCCCATGTACTATTTCCTAGTCAACCTGTCTCTGGTGGACTTTTGCTCCTCCTCAGTTGTCACTCCCACAGTCATGGGTGGGCTCCTTACAGGAAACAAGGTCATTTCCTACAATACCTGTGCTGCTCAGATGTTCCTGTTTGCAGGTCTTGGTACTGTGGAAAATTACCTCTTGACCTCCATGGCCTATGACCGCTGTGTAGCAGTGTGCAAGCCCCTGCACTATACCACCTCCATGACCACAAATGTGTGTGCAGGTCTCATCATAGGCTGCTATGCCTGTGGCTTCCTGAATGCCTCCCTGCGCGTTGGGGACACATTCGTTCTCTCCTTCTGCAACTCCAATGTGGTCCACCATTTTTTCTGTGACATTCCAGCAGTCATGGTTCTCTCTTGCTCAGAGAAACAGGTTAGTGAGTTGGTTCTTGTTTATGTTGTGAGCTTCCATATCTTTTTTGCCTTCTTTGTCATCTGGATATCCTACATCTTCATTTTTGTCACCATTTTTAAAACGCACTCGGTCACAGGAGCTCAGAAGGCTGTATCAACCTGTGCTTCTCATTTTACCTCAGTCTCCATCTTCTATGGGACAAGCATCTTCATGTACCTGCAGCCCAGCTCCAGGCACTCCATGGATACTGATAAAATCGCCTCTGTGTTCTACACCATGGTGATCCCCATGCTGAACCCTGTGGTCTACAGCCTGAGGAACAAGGAGGTCAAGAGTGCATTCTTAAAGGTCAATCATGCATTCATTTTTTGGAGGCAAAATAATTTTTAGGAGTTTCATTTTAGCCTTGTGAGACTCAGAATCCCTGGTTTCATTCGCCTCAGACCTTCTCAAAAGCCTTCATTACCATTTGTGGCTAATATTGAAATGAAATTATTGTAGTAATACTCTCAACTTTTCCAAATCTTTGAAAGTGTAAATAAGGACTAAATGTATAATAGGTAATGTGAAATAGGAAGAAAAAGGGTAAAGGGGAAGGAAGTGGGAGGGCTAGGGGAAAGGATAGAAGGGAATGGAATTAATATGAGAAAATGGAAAAATAGGAACAAAATCTTTGTAAATAGGGAGGAATGGAGGGGTTGAAGGGAGGGCTGGGCAAGGGT